ACAACTGGGTTGGACTGCCATGTGACTCGTTCAGTCTGGTTGATTAGCGAAATGACATCGATCGGTAGCACCTCTTTCTTTCTTTAGGACCTCGTTTGATGGACAGACAAGATGATCGATCCGCCATGACACGAGTGGATGGAGGAGGCTGTGGTGGTGGCCAGGTGAGCATGGCAAACCCCGTGGGTGTTTGTTTGCGTGAATTTTCGGAGAAGTGTGCGCGCGTGTGCGAAGCCTGTCTAGCTCAGTTGGTAGAGCGCAAGACTCTTAATCTTGTGGTCGTGGGTTCGAGCCCCACGGTGGGCGACTACCAATGATGTGATCGAAACGGATGCAGATCCGTTGTCTTTTAGAGCCGCACTTTTTCCGTCTCTTCGTTACAGTGGTTTATCAGCTGGATTGGCTCTAGAACAAGGCGCACCATTCTCGACCACTCGAATCGGGCAGGCTGCGAGTCGGACGTTACCGCGTGTTCGCAACCCAGTCCATACTATCTCTTCTCAGATAGAAACCAATGGGCAGTACCATGGTGATGGAGTAACACAACTGGGTTGGACTGCCATGTGACTCGTTCAGTCTGGTTGATTAGCGACATGACATCGATCGGTAGCACCTCTTTCTTTCTTTAGGACCTCGTTTGATGGACAGACAAGACGATTGATCCGCCATGACACGAGTGGATGGAGGAGGCTGTGGTGGTGGACAGGTGAGCATGGCAAACCCCGTGGGTGTTTGTTTGCGTGATTTTTCGGAGAAGTGTGCGCGCGTGTGCGAAGCCTGTCTAGCTCAGTTGGTAGAGCGCAAGACTCTTAATCTTGTGGTCGTGGGTTCGAGCCCCACGGTGGGCGACTACCAATGATGTGATCGAAACGGATGCAGTCCCGTTCTCTTTCAGAGCCGCACTTTTCCGTCTCTTCGTTACAGTGGTTTATCAGCTGGATTGGCTCCAGAACAAGGCGCACCATTCTCGACCACTCGAATCGGGCAGGCTGCGAGTCGGACGTTACCGCGTGTTCGCAACCCAGTCCATACTATCTCTTCTCAGATAGAAACCAATGGGCAGTACCATGGTGATGGAGTAACACAACTGGGTTGGACTGCCATGTGACTCGTTCAGTCTGGTTGATTAGCGACATGACATCGATCGGTAGCACCTCTTTCTTTCTTTAGGACCTCGTTTGATGGACAGACAAGACGATTGATCCGCCATGACACGAGTGGATGGAGGAGGCTGTGGTGGTGGACAGGTGAGCATGGCAAACCCCGTGGGTGTTTGTTTGCGTGATTTTTCGGAGAAGTGTGCGCGCGTGTGCGAAGCCCGTCTAGCTCAGTTGGTAGAGCGCAAGACTCTTAATCTTGTGGTCGTGGGTTCGAGCCCCACGGTGGGCGACTACCAATGATGTGATCGAAACGGATGCAGTCCCGTTCTCTTTCAGAGCCGCACTTTTTCCGTCTCTTCGTTACAGTGGTTTATCAGCTGGATTGGCTCCAGAACAAGGCGCACCATTCTCGACCACTCGAATCGGGCAGGCTGCGAGTCGGACGTTACCGCGTGTTCGCAACCCAGTCCATACTATCTCTTCTCAGATAGAAACCAATGGGCAGTACCATGGTGATGGAGTAACACAACTGGGTTGGACTGCCATGTGACTCGTTCAGTCTGGTTGATTAGCGACATGACATCGATCGGTAGCACCTCTTTCTTTCTTTAGGACCTCGTTTGATGGACAGACAAGACGATTGATCCGCCATGACACGAGTGGATGGAGGAGGCTGTGGTGGAGGACAGGTGAGCATGGCAAACCCCGTGGGTGTTTGTTTGCGTGAATTTTCGGAGAAGTGTGCACGCGTGTGCGAAGCCTGTCTAACTCAGTTGGTAGAGCGCAAGACTCTTAATCTTGTGGTCGTGGGTTCGAGCCCCACGGTGGGCGACTACCAATGATGTGATCGAAACGGATGCAGATCCGTTGTCTTTTAGAGCCGCACTTTTTCCGTCTCTTCGTTACAGTGGTTTATCAGCTGGATTGGCTCCAGAACAAGGCGCACCATTCTCGACCACTCGAATCGGGCAGGCTGCGAGTCGGACGTTACCGCGTGTTCGCAACCCAGTCCATACTATCTCTTCTCAGATAGAAACCAATGGGCAGTACCATGGTGATGGAGTAACACAACTGGGTTGGACTGCCATGTGACTCGTTCAGTCTGGTTGATTAGCGACATGACATCGATCGGTAGCACCTCTTTCTTTCTTTAGGACCTCGTTTGATGGACAGACAAGATGATCGATCCGCCATGACACGAGTGGATGGAGGAGGCTGTGGTGGTGGACAGGTGAGCATGGCAAACCCCGTGGGTGTTTGTTTGCGTGATTTTTCGGAGAAGTGTGCGCGCGTGTGCGAAGCCTGTCTAGCTCAGTTGGTAGAGCGCAAGACTCTTAATCTTGTGGTCGTGGGTTCGAGCCCCACGGTGGGCGACTACCAATGATGTGATCGAAACGGATGCAGATCCGTTGTCTTTTAGAGCCGCACTTTTCCGTCTCTTCGTTACAGTGGTTTATCAGCTGGATTGGATCCAGAACAAGGCGCACCATTCTCGACCACTCGAATCGGGCAGGCTGCGAGTCGGACGTTACCGCGTGTTCGCAACCCAGTCCATACTATCTCTTCTCAGATAGAAACCAATGGGCAGTACCATGGTGATGGAGTAACACAACTGGGTTGGACTGCCATGTGACTCGTTCAGTCTGGTTGATTAGCGACATGACATCGATCGGTAGCACCTCTTTCTTTCTTTAGGACCTCGTTTGATGGACAGACAAGACGATTGATCCGCCATGACACGAGTGGATGGAGGAGGCTGTGGTGGTGGACAGGTGAGCATGGCAAACCCCGTGGGTGTTTGTTTGCGTGATTTTTCGGAGAAGTGTGCGCGCGTGTGCGAAGCCCGTCTAGCTCAGTTGGTAGAGCGCAAGACTCTTAATCTTGTGGTCGTGGGTTCGAGCCCCACGGTGGGCGACTACCAATGATGTGATCGAAACGGATGCAGTCCCTATCACTTTTAGAGCCGCACTTTTTCCGTCTCTTCGTTACAGTGGTTTATCAGCTGGATTGGCTCCAGAACAAGGCGCACCATTCTCGACCACTCGAATCGGGCAGGCTGAGAGTCGGACGTTACCGCGTGTTCGCAACCCAGTCCATACTATCTCTTCTCAGATAGAAACCAATGGGCAGTACCATGGTGATGGAGTAACACAACTGGGTTGGACTGCCATGTGACTCGTTCAGTCTGGTTGATTAGCGACATGACATCGATCGGTAGCACCTCTTTCTTTCTTTAGGACCTCGTTTGATGGACAGACAAGACGATTGATCCGCCATGACACGAGTGGATGGAGGGAGGCTGTGGTGGTGGACAGGTGAGCATGGCAAACCCCGTGGGTGTTTGTTTGCGTGATTTTTCGGAGAAGTGTGCACGCGTGTGCGAAGCCCGTCTAGCTCAGTCGGTAGAGCGCAAGACTCTTAATCTTGTGGTCGTGGGTTCGAGCCCCACGGTGGGCGACTACCAATGATGCGATCGAAACGGATGCAGTCCCGATCTCTTTAGAGCCGCACTTTTCCGTCTCTTCGTTACAGTGGTTTATCAGCTGGATTGGCTCCAGAACAAGGCGCACCATTCTCGACCACTCGAATCGGGCAGGCTGCGAGTCGGACGTTACCGCGTGTTCGCAACCCAGTCCATACTATCTCTTCTCAGATAGAAACCAATGGGCAGTACCATGGTGATGGAGTAACACAACTGGGTTGGACTGCCATGTGACTCGTTCAGTCTGGTTGATTAGCGACATGACATCGATCGGTAGCACCTCTTTCTTTCTTTAGGACCTCGTTTGATGGACAGACAAGACGATTGATCCGCCATGACACGAGTGGATGGAGGAGGCTGTGGTGGTGGACAGGTGAGCATGGCAAACCCCGTGGGTGTTTGTTTGCGTGATTTTTCGGAGAAGTGTGCGCGCGTGTGCGAAGCCTGTCTAGCTCAGTTGGTAGAGCGCAAGACTCTTAATCTTGTGGTCGTGGGTTCGAGCCCCACGGTGGGCGACTACCAATGATGTGATCGAAACGGATGCAGTTCCGTTGTCTTTTAGAGCCGCACTTTTTCCGTCTCTTCGTTACAGTGGTTTATCAGCTGGATTGGCTCCAGAACAAGGCGCACCATTCTCGACCACTCGAATCGGGCAGGCTGCGAGTCGGACGTTACCGCGTGTTCGCAACCCAGTCCATACTATCTCTTCTCAGATAGAAACCAATGGGCAGTACCATGGTGATGGAGTAACACAACTGGGTTGGACTGCCATGTGACTCGTTCAGTCTGGTTGATTAGCGACATGACATCGATCGGTAGCACCTCTTTCTTTCTTTAGGACCTCGTTTGATGGACAGACAAGACGATTGATCCGCCATGACACGAGTGGATGGAGGAGGCTGTGGTGGAGGACAGGTGAGCATGGCAAACCCCGTGGGTGTTTGTTTGCGTGATTTTTCGGAGAAGTGTGCACGCGTGTGCGAAGCCTGTCTAGCTCAGTTGGTAGAGCGCAAGACTCTTAATCTTGTGGTCGTGGGTTCGAGCCCCACGGTGGGCGACTACCAATGATGTGATCGAAACGGATGCAGATCCGTTGTCTTTTAGAGCCGCACTTTTTCCGTCTCTTCGTTACAGTGGTTTATCAGCTGGATTGGCTCCAGAACAAGGCGCACCATTCTCGACCACTCGAATCGGGCAGGCTGCGAGTCGGGCGTTACCGCGTGTTCGCAACCCAGTCCATACTATCTCTTCTCAGATAGAAACCAATGGGCAGTACCATGGTGATGTAGTAACACAACTGGGTTGGACTGCCATGTGACTCGTTCAGTATGGTTGATTAGCGACATGACATCGATCGGTAGCACCTTTTTCTTTCTTTAGGACCTCGTTTGATGGACAGACAAGACGATTGATCCGCCATGACACGAGTGGATGGAGGAGGCTGTGGTGGTGGACAGGTGAGCATGGCAAACCCCGTGGGTGTTTGTTTGCGTGATTTTTCGGAGAAGTGTGCGCGCGTGTGCGAAGCCTGTCTAGCTCAGTTGGTAGAGCGCAAGACTCTTAATCTTGTGGTCGTGGGTTCGAGCCCCACGGTGGGCGACTACCAATGATGTTATCGAAACGGATGCAGTCCCGTTCTCTTTTAGAGCCGCACTTTTTCCGTCTCTTCGTTACAGTGGTTTATCAGCTGGATTGGCTCCAGAACAAGGCGCACCATTCTCGACCACTCGAATCGGGCAGGCTGCGAGTCGGACGTTACCGCGTGTTCGCAACCCAGTCCATACTATCTCTTCTCAGATAGAAACCAATGGGCAGTACCATGGTGATGTAGTAACACAACTGGGTTGGACTGCCATGTGACTCGTTCAGTCTGGTTGATTAGCGAAATGACATCGATCGGTAGCACCTCTTTCTTTCTTTAGGACCTCGTTTGATGGACAGACAAGACGATTGATCCGCCATGACACGAGTGGATGGAGGAGGCTGTGGTGGTGGACAGGTGAGCATGGCAAACCCCGTGGGTGTTTGTTTGCGTGATTTTTTGGAGAAGTGTGCTGCGTGTGCGAAGCCCGTCTAGCTCAGTCGGTAGAGCGCAAGACTCTTAATCTTGTGGTCGTGGGTTCGAGCCCCACGGTGGGCGACTACCAATGATGTGATCGAAACGGATGCAGTCCCGTTCTCTTTTAGAGCCGCACTTTTTCCGTCTCTTCGTTACAGTGGTTTATCAGCTGGATTGGCTCCAGAACAAGGCGCACCATTCTCGACCACTCGAATCGGGCAGGCTGCGAGTCGGACGTTACCGCGTGTTCGCAACCCAGTCCATACTATCTCTTCTCAGATAGAAACCAATGGGCAGTACCATGGTGATGTAGTAACACAACTGGGTTGGACTGCCATGTGACTCGTTCAGTCTGGTTGATTAGCGAAATGACATCGATCGGTAGCACCTCTTTCTTTCTTTAGGACCTCGTTTGATGGACAGACAAGATGATTGATCCGCCATGACACGAGTGGATGGAGGAGGCTGTGGTGGTGGACAGGTGAGCATGGCAAGCCCCGTGGGTGTTTGTTTGCGTGATTTTTTGGAGAAGTGTGCATGCGTGTGCGAAGCCCGTCTAACTCAGTTGGTAGAGCGCAAGACTCTTAATCTTGTGGTCATGGGTGGGTTCGAGCCCCACGGTGGGCGACTACCAATGATGTTATCGAAACGGATGCAGTCCCGTTCTCTTTCAGAGCCGCACTTTTTCCGTCTCTTCGTTACAGTGGTTTATCAGCTGGATTGGATCCAGAACAAGGCGCACCATTCTCGACCACTCGAATCGGGCAGGCTGCGAGTCGGACGTTACCGCGTGTTCGCAACCCAGTCCATACTATCTCTTCTCAGATAGAAACCAATGGGCAGTACCATGGTGATGGAGTAACACAACTGGGTTGGACTGCCATGTGACTCGTTCAGTCTGGTTGATTAGCGACATGACATCGATCGGTAGCACCTCTTTCTTTCTTTAGGACCTCGTTTGATGGACAGACAAGATGATCGATCCGCCATGACACGAGTGGATGGAGGAGGCTGTGGTGGAGGACAGGTGAGCATGGCAAACCCCGTGGGTGTTTGTTTGCGTGAATTTTCGAAGAAGTGTGCACGCGTGTGCGAAGTCTGTCTAGCTCAGTTGGTAGAGCGCAAGACTCTTAATCTTGTGGTCGTGGGTTCGAGCCCCACGGTGGGCGACTACCAATGATGTTATCGAAACGGATGCAGTCCCGTTCTCTTTCAGAGCCGCACTTTTTCCGTCTCTTCGTTACAGTGGTTTATCAGCTGGATTGGATCCAGAACAAGGCGCACCATTCTCGACCACTCGAATCGGGCAGGCTGCGAGTCGGACGTTACCGCGTGTTCGCAACCCAGTCCATACTATCTCTTCTCAGATAGAAACCAATGGGCAGTACCATGGTGATGTAGTAACACAACTGGGTTGGACTGCCATGTGACTCGTTCAGTCTGGTTGATTAGCGAAATGACATCGATCGGTAGCACCTCTTTCTTTCTTTAGGACCTCGTTTGATGGACAGACAAGACGATTGATCCGCCATGACACGAGTGGATGGAGGAGGCTGTGGTGGTGGACAGGTGAGCATGGCAAACCCCGTGGGTGTTTGTTTGCGTGATTTTTTGGAGAAGTGTGCATGCGTGTGCGAAGCCTGTCTAGCTCAGTTGGTAGAGCGCAAGACTCTTAATCTTGTGGTCATGGGTGGGTTCGAGCCCCACGGTGGGCGACTACCAATGATATGATCGAAACGGATGCAGTCCCGTTCTCTTTCAGAGCCGCACTTTTTCCGTCTCTTCGTTACAGTGGTTTATCAGCTGGATTGGATCCAGAACAAGGCGCACCATTCTCGACCACTCGAATCGGGCAGGCTGCGAGTCGGACGTTACCGCATGTTCGCAACCCAGTCCATACTATCTCTTCTCAGATAGAAACCAATGGGCAGTACCATGGTGATGTAGTAACACAACTGGGTTGGACTGCCATGTGACTCGTTCAGTCTGGTTGATTAGCGAAATGACATCGATCGGTAGCACCTCTTTCTTTCTTTAGGACCTCGTTTGATGGACAGACAAGACGATTGATCCGCCATGACACGAGTGGATGGAGGAGGCTGTGGTGGTGGACAGGTGAGCATGGCAAACCCCGTGGGTGTTTGTTTGCGTGATTTTTCGGAGAAGTGTGCACGCGTGTGCGAAGCCCGTCTAGCTCAGTCGGTAGAGCGCAAGAATCTTAATCTTGTGGTCGTGGGTTCGAGCCCCACGGTGGGCGACTACCAATGATGTGATCGAAACGGATGCAGTCCCGTTCTCTTTCAGAGCCGCACTTTTTCCGTCTCTTCGTTACAGTGGTTTATCAGCTGGATTGGCTCCAGAACAAGGCGCACCATTCTCGACCACTCGAATCGGGCAGGCTGCGAGTCGGACGTTACCGCGTGTTCGCAACCCAGTCCATACTATCTCTTCTCAGATAGAAACCAATGGGCAGTACCATGGTGATGTAGTAACACAACTGGGTTGGACTGCCATGTGACTCGTTCAGTCTGGTTGATTAGCGAAATGACATCGATCGGTAGCACCTCTTTCTTTCTTTAGGACCTCGTTTGATGGACAGACAAGACGATTGATCCGCCATGACACGAGTGGATGGAGGAGGCTGTGGTGGTGGACAGGTGAGCATGGCAAGCCCCGTGGGTGTTTGTTTGCGTGATTTTTCGGAGAAGTGTGCATGCGTGTGCGAAGCCTGTCTAGCTCAGTTGGTAGAGCGCAAGACTCTTAATCTTGTGGTCATGGGTGGGTTCGAGCCCCACGGTGGGCGACTACCAATGATATGATCGAAACGGATGCAGTCCCGTTCTCTTTCAGAGCCGCACTTTTTCCGTCTCTTCGTTACAGTGGTTTATCAGCTGGATTGGATGCAGAACAAGGCGCACTATTCTCGACCACTCGAATCGGGCAGGCTGCGAGTCGGACGTTACCGCGTGTTCGCAACCCAGTCCATACTATCTCTTCTCAGATAGAAACCAATGGGCAGTACCATGGTGATGTAGTAACACAACTGGGTTGGACTGCCATGTGACTCGTTCAGTCTGGTTGATTAGCGAAATGACATCGATCGGTAGCACCTCTTTCTTTCTTTAGGACCTCGTTTGATGGACAGACAAGACGATTGATCCGCCATGACACGAGTGGATGGAGGAGGCTGTGGTGGTGGACAGGTGAGCATGGCAAGCCCCGTGGGTGTTTGTTTGCGTGATTTTTCGGAGAAGTGTGCGCGCGTGTGCGAAGCCTGTCTAGCTCAGTTGGTAGAGCGCAAGACTCTTAATCTTGTGGTCGTGGGTTCGAGCCCCACGGTGGGCGACTACCAATGATGTTATCGAAACGGATGCAGTCCCGTTCTCTTTCAGAGCCGCACTTTTTCCGTCTCTTCGTTACAGTGGTTTATCAGCTGGATTGGCTCCAGAACAAGGCGCACCATTCTCGACCACTCGAATCGGGCAGGCTGCGAGTCGGACGTTACCGCGTGTTCGCAACCCAGTCCATACTATCTCTTCTCAGATAGAAACCAATGGGCAGTACCATGGTGATGTAGTAACACAACTGGGTTGGACTGCCATGTGACTCGTTCAGTATGGTTGATTAGCGAAATGACATCGATCAGTAGCACCTCTTTCTTTCTTTAGGACCTCTTTTGATGGACAGACAAGATGATCGATCCGCCATGACACGAGTGGATGGAGGAGGCTGTGGTGGAGGACAGGTGAGCATGGCAAGCCCCGTGGGTGTTTGTTTGCGTGAATTTTCGGAGAAGTGTGCATGCGTGTGCGAAGCCTGTCTAGCTCAGTTGGTAGAGCGCAAGACTCTTAATCTTGTGGTCATGGGTGGGTTCGAGCCCCACGGTGGGCGACTACCAATGATGTGATCGAAACGGATGCAGTCCCGTTCTCTTTCAGAGCCGCACTTTTTCCGTCTCTTCGTTACAGTGGTTTATCAGCTGGATTGGCTCCAGAACAAGGCGCACCATTCTCGACCACTCGAATCGGGCAGGCTGCGAGTCGGACGTTACCGCGTGTTCGCAACCCAGTCCATACTATCTCTTCTCAGATAGAAACCAATGGGCAGTACCATGGTGATGTAGTAACACAACTGGGTTGGACTGCCATGTGACTCGTTCAGTCTGGTTGATTAGCGAAATGACATCGATCAGTAGCACCTCTTTCTTTCTTTAGGACCTCGTTTGATGGACAGACAAGATGATTGATCCGCCATGACACGAGTGGATGGAGGAGGCTGTGGTGGTGGACAGGTGAGCATGGCAAGCCCCGTGGGTGTTTGTTTGCGTGATTTTTTTGAGAAGTGTGCATGCGTGTGCGAAGCCCGTCTAACTCAGTTGGTAGAGCGCAAGACTCTTAATCTTGTGGTCATGGGTGGGTTCGAGCCCCACGATGGGCGACTACCAATGATATGATCGAAACGGATGCAGTCCCGTTCTCTTTCAGAGCCGCACTTTTTCCGTCTCTTCGTTACAGTGGTTTATCAGCTGGATTGGCTCCAGAACAAGGCGCACCATTCACGACCACTCGAATCGGGCAGGCTGCGAGTGGGACGTTACCGCATGTTCGCAACCCAGTCCATACTATCTCTTCTCAGATAGAAACCAATGGGCAGTACTATGGTGATGGAGTAACACAACTGAGTTGGACTACCATGTGACTCGTTCAGTCTGTTTGATTAGCGAAATGACATCGATCAGTAGCACCTCTTTCTTTCTTTAAGACCTCGTTTGATGGACAGACAAGATGATTGATCCGCCATGACACGAGTGGATGGAGGAGGCTGTGGTGGAGGACAGGTGAGCATGGCAAGTCCCGTGGATGTTTGTTTGCGTGATTTTTTTGAGAAGTGTGCGCGCGTGTGCGAAGCCCGTCTAACTCAGTTGGTAGAGCGCAAGACTCTTAATCTTGTGGTCATGGGTGGGTTCGAGCCCCACGATGGGCGACTACCAATGATATGATCGAAACGGATGCAGTCCCGTTCTCTTTCAGAGCCGCACTTTTTCCGTCTCTTCGTTACAGTGGTTTATCAGCTGGATTGGATCCAGAACGAGGCGCACCATTCTCGACCACTCGAATCGGGCAGGCTGCGAGTCGGACGTTACCGCATGTTCGCAACCCAGTCCATACTATCTCTTCTCAGATAGAAACCAATGGGCAGTACCATGGTGATGGAGTAACACAACTGGGTTGGACTGCCATGTGACTCGTTCAGTCTGGTTGATTAGCGAAATGACATCGATCGGTAGCACCTCTTTCTTTCTTTAGGACCTCGTTTGATGGACAGACAAGATGATTGATCCGCCATGACACGAGTGGATGGAGGAGGCTGTGGTGGAGGACAGGTGAGCATGGCAAGCCCCGTGGGTGTTTGTTTGCGTGAATTTTCGGAGAAGTGTGCATGCGTGTGCGAAGCCTGTCTAGCTCAGTTGGTAGAGCGCAAGACTCTTAATCTTGTGGTCATGGGTGGGTTCGAGCCCCACGGTGGGCGACTACCAATGATATGATCGAAACGGATGCAGTCCCGTTCTCTTTCAGAGCCGCACTTTTTCCGTCTCTTCGTTACAGTGGTTTATCAGCTGGATTGGCTCCAGAACAAGGCGCACCATTCTCGACCACTCGAATCGGGCAGGCTGCGAGTCGGACGTTACCGCGTGTTCGCAACCCAGTCCATACTATCTCTTCTCAGATAGAAACCAATGGGCAGTACCATGGTGATGTAGTAACACAACTGGGTTGGACTGCCATGTGACTCGTTCAGTATGGTTGATTAGCGAAATGACATCGATCGGTAGCACCTCTTTCTTTCTTTAGGACCTCTTTTGATGGACAGACAAGACGATCGATCCGCCATGACACGAGTGGATGGAGGAGGCTGTGGTGGTGGACAGGTGAGCATGGCAAGCCCCGTGGGTGTTTGTTTGCGTGATTTTTCGGAGAAGTGTGCGCGCGTGTGCGAAGCCTGTCTAACTCAGTTGGTAGAGCGCAAGACTCTTAATCTTGTGGTCATGGGTGGGTTCGAGCCCCACGGTGGGCGACTACCAATGATATGATCGAAACGGATGCAGTCCCGTTCTCTTTTAGAGCCGCACTTTTTCCGTCTCTTCGTTACAGTGGTTTATCAGCTGGATTGGCTCCAGAACAAGGCGCACCATTCTCGACCACTCGAATCGGGCAGGCTGCGAGTCGGACGTTACCGCGTGTTCGCAACCCAGTCCATACTATCTCTTCTCAGATAGAAACCAATGGGCAGTACCATGGTGATGTAGTAACACAACTGGGTTGGACTGCCATGTGACTCGTTCAGTCTGGTTGATTAGCGAAATGACATCGATCGGTAGCACCTCTTTCTTTCTTTAGGACCTCGTTTGATGGACAGACAAGATGATCGATCCGCCATGACACGAGTGGATGGAGGAGGCTGTGGTGGTGGACAGGTGAGCATGGCAAACCCCGTGGGTGTTTGTTTGCGTGATTTTTCGGAGAAGTGTGCATGCGTGTGCGAAGCCCGTCTAACTCAGTTGGTAGAGCGCAAGACTCTTAATCTTGTGGTCATGGGTGGGTTCGAGCCCCACGGTGGGCGACTACCAATGATGTGATCGAAACGGATGCAGTCCCGTTCTCTTTCAGAGCCGCACTTTTTCCGTCTCTTCGTTACAGTGGTTTATCAGCTGGATTGGCTCCAGAACAAGGCGCACCATTCTCGACCACTCGAATCGGGCAGGCTGCGAGTCGGACGTTACCGCGTGTTCGCAACCCAGTCCATACTATCTCTTCTCAGATAGAAACCAATGGGCAGTACCATGGTGATGTAGTAACACAACTGGGTTGGACTGCCATGTGACTCGTTCAGTATGGTTGATTAGCGAAATGACATCGATCAGTAGCACCTCTTTCTTTCTTTAAGACCTCGTTTGATGGACAGACAAGATGATCGATCCGCCATGACACGAGTGGATGAAGGAGGCTGTGGTGGTGGACAGGTGAGCATGGCAAGCCCCGTGGGTGTTTGTTTGCGTGATTTTTTGAGAAGTGTGCATGCGTGTGCAAAGCCCGTCTAGCTCAGTTGGTAGAGCGCAAGACTCTTAATCTTGTGGTCATGGGTGGGTTCGAGCCCCACGATGGGCGACTACCAATGATATGATCGAAACGGATGCAGTCCCGTTCTCTTTTAGAGCCGCACTTTTTCCGTCTCTTCGTTACAGTGGTTTATCAGCTGGATTGGCTCCAGAACAAGGCGCACCATTCTCGACCACTCGAATCGGGCAGGCTGCGAGTCGGACGTTACCGCGTGTTCGCAACCCAGTCCATACTATCTCTTCTCAGATAGAAACCAATGGGCAGTACCATGGTGATGTAGTAACACAACTGGGTTGGACTGCCATGTGACTCGTTCAGTATGGTTGATTAGCGAAATGACATCGATCAGTAGCACCTCTTTCTTTCTTTAAGACCTCGTTTGATGGACAGACAAGATGATCGATCCGCCATGACACGAGTGGATGAAGGAGGCTGTGGTGGTGGACAGGTGAGCATGGCAAGCCCCGTGGGTGTTTGTTTGCGTGATTTTTCGGAGAAGTGTGCATGCGTGTGCGAAGCCCGTCTAACTCAGTTGGTAGAGCGCAAGACTCTTAATCTTGTGGTCATGGGTGGGTTCGAGCCCCACGATGGGCGACTACCAATGATGTTATCGAAACGGATGCAGTCCCGTTCTCTTTCAGAGCCGCACTTTTTCCGTCTCTTCGTTACAGTGGTTTATCAGCTGGATTGGCTCCAGAACAAGGCGCACCATTCTCGACCACTCGAATCGGGCAGGCTGCGAGTCGGACGTTACCGCGTGTTCGCAACCCAGTCCATACTATCTCTTCTCAGATAGAAACCAATGGGCAGTACCATGGTGATGTAGTAACACAACTGGGTTGGACTGCCATGTGACTCGTTCAGTATGGTTGATTAGCGAAATGACATCGATCGGTAGCACCTCTTTCTTTCTTTAGGACCTCGTTTGATGGACAGACAAGATGATCGATCCGCCATGACACGAGTGGATGAAGGAGGCTGTGGTGGTGGACAGGTGAGCATGGCAAGCCCCGTGGGTGTTTGTTTGCGTGATTTTTTTTGAGAAGTGTGCATGCGTGTGCGAAGCCCGTCTAACTCAGTTGGTAGAGCGCAAGACTCTTAATCTTGTGGTCATGGGTGGGTTCGAGCCCCACGATGGGCGACTACCAATGATATGATCGAAACGGATGCAGTCCCGTTCTCTTTCAGAGCCGCACTTTTTCCGTCTCTTCGTTACAGTGGTTTATCAGCTGGATTGGCTCCAGAACAAGGCGCACCATTCTCGACCACTCGAATCGGGCAGGCTGCGAGTCGGGCGTTACCGCGTGTTCGCAACCCAGTCCATACTATCTCTTCTCAGATAGAAACCAATGGGCAGTACCATGGTGATGTAGTAACACAACTGGGTTGGACTGCCATGTGACTCGTTCAGTCTGGTTGATTAGCGAGATGACATCGATCGGTAGCACCTCTTTCTTTCTTTCTTTAGGACCTCGTTTGATGGACAGACAAGATGATCGATCCGCCATGACACGAGTGGATGGAGGAGGCTGTGGTGGTGGACAGGTGAGCATGGCAAGCCCCGTGGGTGTTTGTTTGCGTGATTTTTCGGAGAAGTGTGCGTGCGTGTGCGAAGCCTGTCTAGCTCAGTTGGTAGAGCGCAAGACTCTTAATCTTGTGGTCATGGGTGGGTTCGAGCCCCACGGTGGGCGACTACCAATGATGTGATCGAAACGGATGCAGTCCCGTTCTCTTTCAGAGCCGCACTTTTTCCGTCTCTTCGTTACAGTGGTTTATCAGCTGGATTGGCTCCAGAACAAGGCGCACCATTCTCGACCACTCGAATCGGGCAGGCTGAGAGTCGGGCGTTACCGCGTGTTCGCAACCCAGTCCATACTATCTCTTCTCAGATAGAAACCAATGGGCAGTACCATGGTGATGGAGTAACACAACTGGGTTGGACTGCCATGTGACTCGTTCAGTCTGGTTGATTAGCGACATGACATCGATCGGTAGCACCTCTTTCTTTCTTTAGGACCTCGTTTGATGGACAGACAAGATGATCGATCCGCCATGACACGAGTGGATGGAGGAGGCTGTGGTGGTGGACAGGTGAGCATGGCAAGCCCCGTGGGTGTTTGTTTGCGTGATTTTTTGGAGAAGTGTGGCATGCGTGTGCGAAGCCCGTCTAACTCAGTTGGTAGAGCGCAAGACTCTTAATCTTGTGGTCATGGGTGGGTTCGAGCCCCACGGTGGGCGACTACCAATGATATGATCGAAACGGATGCAGTCCCGTTCTCTTTCAGAGCCGCACTTTTTCCGTCTCTTCGTTACAGTGGTTTATCAGCTGGATTGGCTCCAGAACAAGGCGCACCATTCTCGACCACTCGAATCGGGCAGGCTGCGAGTCGGACGTTACCGCGTGTTCGCAACCCAGTCCATACTATCTCTTCTCAGATAGAAACCAATGGGCAGTACCATGGTGATGTAGTAACACAACTGGGTTGGAATGCCATGTGACTCGTTCAGTCTGGTTGATTAGCGAAATGACATCGATCAGTAGCACCTCTTTCTTTCTTTAGGACCTCGTTTGATGGACAGACAAGATGATCGATCCGCCATGACACGAGTGGATGAAGGAGGCTGTGGTGGTGGACAGGTGAGCATGGCAAGTCCCGTGGGTGTTTGTTTGCGTGATTTTTCGGAGAAGTGTGCATGCGTGTGCGAAGCCCGTCTAACTCAGTTGGTAGAGCGCAAGACTCTTAATCTTGTGGTCATGGGTGGGTTCGAGCCCCACGATGGGCGACTACCAATGATATGATCGAAACGGATGCAGTCCCGTTCTCTTTCAGAGCCGCACTTTTTCCGTCTCTTCGTTACAGTGGTTTATCAGCTGGATTGGCTCCAGAACAAGGCGCACCATTCTCGACCACTCGAATCGGGCAGGCTGCGAGTCGGACGTTACCGCGTGTTCGCAACCCAGTCCATACTATCTCTTCTCAGATAGAAACCAATGGGCAGTACCATGGTGATGTAGTAACACAACTGGGTTGGACTGCCATGTGACTCGTTCAGTATGGTTGATTAGCGAAATGACATCGATCAGTAGCACCTCTTTCTTTCTTTAAGACCTCGTTTGATGGACAGACAAGATGATCGATCCGCCATGACACGAGTGGATGGAGGAGGCTGTGGTGGTGGACAGGTGAGCATGGCAAGCCCCGTGGGTGTTTGTTTGCGTGATTTTTCGGAGAAGTGTGCATGCGTGTGCGAAGCCCGTCTAACTCAGTTGGTAGAGCGCAAGACTCTTAATCTTGTGGTCATGGGTGGGTTCGAGCCCCACGATGGGCGACTACCAATGATATGATCGAAACGGATGCAGTCCCGTTCTCTTTCAGAGCCGCACTTTTTCCGTCTCTTCGTTACAGTGGTTTATCAGCTGGATTGGCTCCAGAACAAGGCGCACCATTCTCGACCACTCGAATCGGGCAGGCTGCGAGTCGGGCGTTACCGCGTGTTCGCAACCCAGTCCATACTATCTCTTCTCAGATAGAAACCAATGGGCAGTACCATGGTGATGTAGTAACACAACTGGGTTGGACTGCCATGTGACTCGTTCAGTCTGGTTGATTCGAGAAATGACATCGATCAGTAGCACCTCTTTCTTTCTTTAAGACCTCGTTTGATGGACAGACAAGATGATCGATCCGACATGACACGAGTGGATGAAGGAGGCTGTGGTGGTGGACAGGTGAGCATGGCAAGCCCCGTGGGTGTTTGCTTGCGTGATTTTTTTGAGAAGTATGCATGCGTGTGCGAAGCCCGTCTAACTCAGTTGGTAGAGCGCAAGACTCTTAATCTTGTGGTCATGGGTGGGTTCGAGCCCCACGGTGGGCGACTACCAATGATATGATCGAAACGGATGCAGTCCCGTTCTCTTTCAGAGCCGCACTTTTTCCGTCTCTTCGTTACAGTGGTTTATCAGCTGGATTGGCTCCAGAACAAGGCGCACCATTCACGACCACTCGAATCGGGCAGGCTGCGAGTCGGGCGTTACCGCGTGTTCGCAACCCAGTCCATACTATCTCTTCTCAGATAGAAACCAATGGGCAGTACCATGGTGATGTAGTAACACAACTGGGTTGGACTGCCATGTGACTCGTTCAGTCTGGTTGATTAGCGAAATGACATCGATCGGTAGCACCTCTTTCTTTCTTTAGGACCTCGTTTGATGGACAGACAAGACGATTGATCCGCCATGACACGAGTGGATGGAGGAGGCTGTGGTGGAGGACAGGTGAGCATGGCAAGCCCCGTGGGTGTTTGTTTGCGTGATTTTTCGGAGAAGTGTGCGCGCGTGTGCGAAGCCTGTCTAGCTCAGTTGGTAGAGCGCAAGACTCTTAATCTTGTGGTCATGGGTGGGTTCGAGCCCCACGGTGGGCGACTACCAATGATGTGATCGAAACGGATGCAGTCCCGTTCTCTTTCAGAGCCGCACTTTTTCCGTCTCTTCGTTACAGTGGTTTATCAGCTGGATTGGATCCAGAACAAGGCGCACCATTCTCGACCACTCGAATCGGGCAGGCTGCGAGTCGGACGTTACCGCATGTTCGCAACCCAGTCCATACTATCTCTTCTCAGATAGAAACCAATGGGCAGTACCATGGTGATGTAGTAACACAACTGGGTTGGACTGCCATGTGACTCGTTCAGTCTGGTTGATTAGCGACATGACATCGATCGGTAGCACCTCTTTCTTTCTTTAGGACCTCGTTTGATGGACAGACAAGATGGTCGATCCGCCATGACACGAGTGGATGGAGGAGGCTGTGGTGGTGGACAGGTGAGCATGGCAAGCCCCGTGGGTGTTTGTTTGCGTGATTTTTCGGAGAAGTGTGCATGCGTGTGCGAAGCCTGTCTAACTCAGTTGGTAGAGCGCAAGACTCTTAATCTTGTGGTCATGGGTGGGTTCGAGCCCCACGGTGGGCGACTACCAATGATATGATCGAAACGGATGCAGTCCCGTTCTCTTTCAGAGCCGCACTTTTTCCGTCTCTTCGTTACAGTGGTTTATCAGCTGGATTGGATCCAGAACAAGGCGCACCATTCTCGACCACTCGAATCGGGCAGGCTGCGAGTCGGACGTTACCGCGTGTTCGCAACCCAGTCCATACTATCTCTTCTCAGATAGAAACCAATGGGCAGTACCATGGTGATGTAGTAACACAACTGGGTTGGACTGCCATGTGACTCGTTCAGTATGGTTGATTAGCGAAATGACATCGATCAGTAGCACCTCTTTCTTTCTTTAAGACCTCGTTTGATGGACAGACAAGATGATCGATCCGCCATGACACGAGTGGATGAAGGAGGCTGTGGTGGTGGACAGGTGAGCATGGCAAGCCCCGTGGGTGTTTGTTTGCGTGATTTTTTTTGAGAAGTGTGCATGCGTGTGCGAAGCCCGTCTAACTCAGTTGGTAGAGCGCAAGACTCTTAATCTTGTGGTCATGGGTGGGTTCGAGCCCCACGATGGGCGACTACCAATGATGTTATCGAAACGGATGCAGTCCCGTTCTCTTTCAGAGCCGCACTTTTTCCGTCTCTTCGTTACAGTGGTTTATCAGCTGGATTGGCTCCAGAACAAGGCGCACCATTCTCGACCACTCGAATCGGGCAGGCTGCGAGTCGGACGTTACCGCGTGTTCGCAACCCAGTCCATACTATCTCTTCTCAGATAGAAACCAATGGGCAGTACCATGGTGATGTAGTAACACAACTGGGTTGGACTGCCATGTGACTCGTTCAGTATGGTTGATTAGCGAAATGACATCGATCAGTAGCACCTCTTTCTTTCTTTAAGACCTCGTTTGATGGACAGACAAGATGATCGATCCGCCATGACACGAGTGGATGAAGGAGGCTGTGGTGGTGGACAGGTGAGCATGGCAAGCCCCGTGGGTGTTTGTTTGCGTGATTTTTTTGAGAAGTGTGCATGCGTGTGCGAAGCCCGTCTAACTCAGTTGGTAGAGCGCAAGACTCTTAATCTTGTGGTCATGGGTGGGTTCGAGCCCCACGGTGGGCGACTACCAATGATATGATCGAAACGGATGCAGTCCCGTTCTCTTTCAGAGCCGCACTTTTTCGTCTCTTCGTTACAGTGGTTTATCAGCTGGATTGGATGCAGAACAAGGCGCACCATTCTCGACCACTCGAATCGGGCAGGCTGAGGGTCGGACGTTACCGCGTGTTCGCAACCCAGTCCATACTATCTCTTCTCGGATAGAAACCAATGGGCAGTACCATGGTGATGGAGTAACACAACTGGGTTGGACTGCCATGTGACTCGTTCAGTCTGGTTGATTAGCGACATGACATCGATCGGTAGCACCTCTTTCTTTCTTTAGGACCTCGTTTGATGGACAGACAAGACGATTGATCCGCCATGACACGAGTGGATGGAGGAGGCTGTGGTGGAGGACAGGTGAGCATGGCAAACCCCGTGGGTGTTTGTTTGCGTGATTTTTGGAGAAGTGTGCGCGCGTGTGCGAAGCCCGTCTAACTCAGTTGGTAGAGCGCAAGACTCTTAATCTTGTGGTCATGGGTGGGTTCGAGCCCCACGATGGGCGACTACCAATGATATGATCGAAACGGATGCAGTCCCGTTCTCTTTCAGAGCCGCACTTTTTCGTCTCTTCGTTACAGTGGTTTATCAGCTGGATTGGATGCAGAACAAGGCGCACCATTCTCGACCACTCGAATCGGGCAGGCTGAGAGTCGGGCGTTACCGCGTGTTCGCAACCCAGTCCATACTATCTCTTCTCAGATAGAAACCAATGGGCAGTACCATGGTGATGTAGTAACACAACTGGATTGGACTGCCATGTGACTTGTTCTGACTAGTTGATTCGAGAAATGACATCGATCAGTAGCACCTCTTTCTTTCTTTAAGACCTCGTTTGATGGACAGACAAGATGATCGATCCGCCATGACACGAGTGGATGAAGGAGGCTGTGGTGGTGGACAGGTGAGCATGGCAAGCCCCGTGGGTGTTTGTTTGCGTGATTTTTCGGAGAAGTGTGCGCGCGTGTGCGAAGCCTGTCTAGCTCAGTTGGTAGAGCGCAAGACTCTTAATCTTGTGGTCATGGGTGGGTTCGAGCCCCACGGTGGGCGACTACCAATGATGTTATCGAAACGGATGCAGTCCCGTTCTCTTTCAGAGCCGCACTTTTTCCGTCTCTTCGTTACAGTGGTTTATCAGCTGGATTGGCTCCAGAACAAGGCGCACCATTCTCGACCACTCGAATCGGGCAGGCTGAGAGTCGGACGTTACCGCGTGTTCGCAACCCAGTCCATACTATCTCTTCTCAGATAGAAACCAATGGGCAGTACCATGGTGATGTAGTAACACAACTGGGTTGGACTGCCATGTGACTCGTTCAGTCTGGTTGATTAGCGACATGACATCGATCGGTAGCACCTCTTTCTTTCTTTAGGACCTCGTTTGATGGACAGACAAGATGATCGATCCGCCATGACACGAGTGGATGAAGGAGGCTGTGGTGGTGGACAGGTGAGCATGGCAAGCCCCGTGGATGTTTGTTTGCGTGATTTTTTTTGAGAAGTGTGCATGCGTGTGCGAAGCCCGTCTAACTCAGTTGGTAGAGCGCAAGACTCTTAATCTTGTGGTCATGGGTGGGTTCGAGCCCCACGGTGGGCGACTACCAATGATATGATCGAAACGGATGCAGTCCCGTTCTCTTTCAGAGCCGCACTTTTTCCGTCTCTTCGTTACAGTGGTTTATCAGCTGGATTGGATCCAGAACAAGGCGCACCATTCTCGACCACTCGAATCGGGCAGGCTGCGAGTCGGACGTTACCGCATGTTCGCAACCCAGTCCATACTATCTCTTCTCAGATAGAAACCAATGGGCAGTACCATGGTGATGTAGTAACACAACTGGGTTGGACTGCCATGTGACTCGTTCAGTATGGTTGATTAGCGAAATGACATCGATCGGTAGCACCTCTTTCTTTCTTTAGGACCTCGTTTGATGGACAGACAAGACGATTGATCCGCCATGACACGAGTGGATGGAGGAGGCTGTGGTGGTGGACAGGTGAGCATGGCAAACCCCGTGGGTGTTTGTTTGCGTGAATTTTTGGAGAAGTGTGCGCGCGTGTGCGAAGCCCGTCTAACTCAGTTGGTAGAGCGCAAGACTCTTAATCTTGTGGTCATGGGTGGGTTCGAGCCCCACGATGGGCGATACCAATGATGCGATCGAAACGGATGCAATCTCGATCTCCTTTAGAGCCGCACTTTTTCCGTCTCTTCGTTACAGTGGTTTATCAGCTGGATTGGCTCTAGAACAAGGCGCACCATTCTCGACCACTCGAATCGGGCAGGCTGAGGGTCGGACGTTACCGCGTGTTCGCAACCCAGTCCATACTATCTCTTCTCAGATAGAAACCAATGGGCAGTACCATGGTGATGTAGTAACACAACTGGGTTGGACTGCCATGTGACTCGTTCAGTATGGTTGATTAGCGAAATGACATCGATCGGTAGCACCTCTTTCTTTCTTTAAGACCTCGTTTGATGGACAGACAAGATGATCGATCCGCCATGACACGAGTGGATGGAGGAGGCTGTGGTGGTGGACAGGTGAGCATGGCAAGCCCCGTGGGTGTTTGTTTGCGTGATTTTTCGGAGAAGTGTGCACGCGTGTGCGAAGCCTGTCTAACTCAGTTGGTAGAGCGCAAGACTCTTAATCTTGTGGTCATGGGTGGGTTCGAGCCCCACGATGGGAGACTACCAATGATATGATCGAAACGGATGCAGTCCCGTTCTCTTTCAGAGCCGCACTTTTTCCGTCTCTTCGTTACAGTGGTTTATCAGCTGGATTGGCTCCAGAACAAGGCGCACCATTCTCGACCACTCGAATCGGGCAGGCTGCGAGTCGGACGTTACCGCGTGTTCGCAACCCAGTCCATACTATCTCTTCTCAGATAGAAACCAATGGGCAGTACCATGGTGATGTAGTAACACAACTGGGTTGGACTGCCATGTGACTCGTTCAGTCTGGTTGATTAGCGACATGACATCGATCGGTAGCACCTCTTTCTTTCTTTAGGACCTCGTTTGATGGACAGACAAGACGATTGATCCGCCATGACACGAGTGGATGGAGGAGGCTGTGGTGGAGGACAGGTGAGCATGGCAAGCCCCGTGGATGTTTGTTTGCGTGATTTTTTTGAGAAGTGTGCATGCGTGTGCGAAGCCCGTCTAACTCAGTTGGTAGAGCGCAAGACTCTTAATCTTGTGGTCATGGGTGGGTTCGAGCCCCACGGTGGGCGACTACCAATGATATGATCGAAACGGATGCAGTCCCGTTCTCTTTCAGAGCCGCACTTTTTCGTCTCTTCGTTACAGTGGTTTATCAGCTGGATTGGATGCAGAACAAGGCGCACCATTCTCGACCACTCGAATCGGGCAGGCTGAGAGTCGGGCGTTACCGCGTGTTCGCAACCCAGTCCATACTATCTCTTCTCAGATAGAAACCAATGGGCAGTACCATGGTGATGTAGTAACACAACTGGGTTGGACTGCCATGTGACTCGTTCAGTATGGTTGATTAGCGAAATGACATCGATCGGTAGCACCTCTTTCTTTCTTTAGGACCTCGTTTGATGGACAGACAAGACGATTGATCCGCCATGACACGAGTGGATGGAGGAGGCTGTGGTGGAGGACAGGTGAGCATGGCAAACCCCGTGGGTGTTTGTTTGCGTGATTTTTCGGAGAAGTGTGCGCGCGTGTGCGAAGCCTGTCTAGCTCAGTTGGTAGAGCGCAAGACTCTTAATCTTGTGGTCATGGGTGGGTTCGAGCCCCACGGTGGGCGACTACCAATGATGTTATCGAAACGGATGCAGTCCCGTTCTCTTTCAGAGCCGCACTTTTTCCGTCTCTTCGTTACAGTGGTTTATCAGCTGGATTGGATCCAGAACGAGGCGCACCATTCTCGACCACTCGAATCGGGCAGGCTGCGAGTCGGACGTTACCGCATGTTCGCAACCCAGTCCATACTATCTCTTCTCAGATAGAAACCAATGGGCAGTACCATGGTGATGTAGTAACACAACTGGGTTGGACTGCCATGTGACTCGTTCAGTCTGGTTGATTAGCGACATGACATCGATCGGTAGCACCTCTTTCTTTCTTTAGGACCTCGTTTGATGGACAGACAAGATGATCGATCCGCCATGACACGAGTGGATGGAGGAGGCTGTGGTGGTGGACAGGTGAGCATGGCAAGCCCCGTGGATGTTTGTTTGCGTGATTTTTTTGAGAAGTGTGCATGCGTGTGCGAAGCCCGTCTAACTCAGTTGGTAGAGCGCAAGACTCTTAATCTTGTGGTCATGGGTGGGTTCGAGCCCCACGGTGGGCGACTACCAATGATGTTATCGAAACGGATGCAGTCCCGTTCTCTTTCAGAGCCGCACTTTTTCCGTCTCTTCGTTACAGTGGTTTATCAGCTGGATTGGCTCCAGAACAAGGCGCACCATTCTCGACCACTCGAATCGGGCAGGCTGCGAGTCGGACGTTACCGCGTGTTCGCAACCCAGTCCATACTATCTCTTCTCAGATAGAAACCAATGGGCAGTACCATGGTGATGTAGTAACACAACTGGGTTGGACTGCCATGTGACTCGTTCAGTATGGTTGATTAGCGAAATGACATCGATCGGTAGCACCTCTTTCTTTCTTTAAGACCTCGTTTGATGGACAGACAAGATGATCGATCCGCCATGACACGAGTGGATGAAGGAGGCTGTGGTGGTGGACAGGTGAGCATGGCAAACCCCGTGGGTGTTTGTTTGCGTGATTTTTTTGAGAAGTGTGCATGCGTGTGCGAAGCCCGTCTAACTCAGTTGGTAGAGCGCAAGACTCTTAATCTTGTGGTCATGGGTGGGTTCGAGCCCCACGGTGGGCGATACCAATGATGTTATCGAAACGGATGCAGTCCCGTTCTCTTTCAGAGCCGCACTTTTTCCGTCTCTTCGTTACAGTGGTTTATCAGCTGGATTGGCTCCAGAACAAGGCGCACCATTCTCGACCACTCGAATCGGGCAGGCTGCGAGTCGGACGTTACCGCGTGTTCGCAACCCAGTCCATACTATCTCTTCTCAGATAGAAACCAATGGGCAGTACCATGGTGATGTAGTAACACAACTGGGTTGGACTGCCATGTGACTCGTTCAGTCTGGTTGATTAGCGAAATGACATCGATCGGTAGCACCTCTTTCTTTCTTTAGGACCTCGTTTGATGGACAGACAAGACGATTGATCCGCCATGACACGAGTGGATGGAGGAGGCTGTGGTGGTGGACAGGTGAGCATGGCAAGCCCCGTGGGTGTTTGTTTGCGTGATTTTTTTGAGAAGTGTGCATGCGTGTGCGAAGCCCGTCTAACTCAGTTGGTAGAGCGCAAGACTCTTAATCTTGTGGTCATGGGTGGGTTCGAGCCCCACGGTGGGCGACTACCAATGATATGATCGAAACGGATGCAGTCCCGTTCTCTTTCAGAGCCGCACTTTTTCCGTCTCTTCGTTACAGTGGTTTATCAGCTGGATTGGCTCCAGAACAAGGCGCACCATTCTCGACCACTCGAATCGGGCAGGCTGAGAGTCGGGCGTTACCGCGTGTTCGCAACCCAGTCCATACTATCTCTTCTCAGATAGAAACCAATGGGCAGTACCATGGTGATGTAGTAACACAACTGGGTTGGACTGCCATGTGACTCGTTCAGTCTGGTTGATTAGCGAAATGACATCGATCGGTAGCACCTCTTTCTTTCTTTAGGACCTCGTTTGATGGACAGACAAGACGATTGATCCGCCATGACACGAGTGGATGGAGGAGGCTGTGGTGGTGGACAGGTGAGCATGGCAAGCCCCGTGGGTGTTTGTTTGCGTGATTTTTTTGAGAAGTGTGCATGCGTGTGCGAAGCCCGTCTAACTCAGTTGGTAGAGCGCAAGACTCTTAATCTTGTGGTCATGGGTGGGTTCGAGCCCCACGATGGGCGACTACCAATGATGTGATCGAAACGGATGCAGTCCCGTTCTCTTTCAGAGCCGCACTTTTTCCGTCTCTTCGTTACAGTGGTTTATCAGCTGGATTGGATCCAGAACGAGGCGCACCATTCTCGACCACTCGAATCGGGCAGGCGGAGGGTCGGACGTTACCGCGTGTTCGCAACCCAGTCCATACTATCTCTTCTCAGATAGAAACCAATGGGCAGTACCATGGTGATGTAGTAACACAACTGGGTTGGACTGCCATGTGACTCGTTCAGTATGGTTGATTAGCGAAATGACATCGATCGGTAGCACCTCTTTCTTTCTTTAGGACCTCGTTTGATGGACAGACAAGACGATTGATCCGCCATGACACGAGTGGATGGAGGAGGCTGTGGTGGTGGACAGGTGAGCATGGCAAACCCCGTGGGTGTTTGTTTGCGTGATTTTTTGTGAGAAGTGTGCATGCGTGTGCGAAGCCTGTCTAGCTCAGTTGGTAGAGCGCAAGACTCTTAATCTTGTGGTCATGGGTGGGTTCGAGCCCCACGGTGGGCGACTACCAATGATGTGATCGAAACGGATGCAGTCCCGTTCTCTTTCAGAGCCGCACTTTTTCCGTCTCTTCGTTACAGTGGTTTATCAGCTGGATTGGCTGCAGAACAAGGCGCACCATTCTCGACCACTCGAATCGGGCAGGCTGAGGGTCGGACGTTACCGCGTGTTCGCAACCCAGTCCATACTATCTCTTCTCAGATAGAAACCAATGGGCAGTACCATGGTGATGTAGTAACACAACTGGGTTGGACTGCCATGTGACTCGTTCAGTCTGGTTGATTAGCGAAATGACATCGATCGGTAGCACCTCTTTCTTTCTTTAGGACCTCGTTTGATGGACAGACAAGACGATTGATCCGCCATGACACGAGTGGATGGAGGAGGCTGTGGTGGTGGACAGGTGAGCATGGCAAGCCCCGTGGGTGTTTGTTTGCGTGATTTTTTTTGAGAAGTGTGCATGCGTGTGCAAAGCCCGTCTAGCTCAGTTGGTAGAGCGCAAGACTCTTAATCTTGTGGTCGTGGGTTCGAGCCCCACGGTGGGCGACTACCAATGATGTTATCGAAACGGATGCAGTCCCGATCTCTTTAGAGCCGCACTTTTTCCGTCTCTTCGTTACAGTGGTTTATCAGCTGGATTGGCTCCAGAACAAGGCGCACCATTCTCGACCACTCGAATCGGGCAGGCTGCGAGTCGGACGTTACCGCGTGTTCGCAACCCAGTCCATACTATCTCTTCTCAGATAGAAACCAATGGGCAGTACCATGGTGATGTAGTAACACAACTGGGTTGGACTGCCATGTGACTCGTTCAGTATGGTTGATTAGCGAAATGACATCGATCAGTAGCACCTCTTTCTTTCTTTAAGACCTCGTTTGATGGACAGACAAGACGATTGATCCGCCATGACACGAGTGGATGGAGGAGGCTGTGGTGGTGGACAGGTGAGCATGGCAAGCCCCGTGGGTGTTTGTTTGCGTGATTTTTCGGAGAAGTGTGCATGCGTGTGCGAAGCCTGTCTAGCTCAGTTGGTAGAGCGCAAGACTCTTAATCTTGTGGTCATGGGTGGGTTCGAGCCCCACGGTGGGCGACTACCAATGATGTGATCGAAACGGATGCAGTCCCGTTCTCTTTCAGAGCCGCACTTTTTCCGTCTCTTCGTTACAGTGGTTTATCAGCTGGATTGGCTCCAGAACAAGGCGCACCATTCTCGACCACTCGAATCGGGCAGGCTGAGAGTCGGACGTTACCGCGTGTTCGCAACCCAGTCCATACTATCTCTTCTCAGATAGAAACCAATGGGCAGTACCATGGTGATGTAGTAACACAACTGGGTTGGACTGCCATGTGACTCGTTCAGTCTGGTTGATTAGCGAAATGACATCGATCGGTAGCACCTCTTTCTTTCTTTAGGACCTCGTTTGATGGACAGACTAGACGATTGATCCGCCATGACACGAGTGGATGGAGGAGGCTGTGGTGGTGGACAGGTGAGCATGGCAAGCCCCGTGGATGTTTGTTTGCGTGATTTTTTTGAGAAGTGTGCATGCGTGTGCGAAGCCTGTCTAACTCAGTTGGTAGAGCGCAAGACTCTTAATCTTGTGGTCATGGGTGGGTTCGAGCCCCACGATGGGCGACTACCAATGATGCGATCGAAACGGATGCAGTCCCGTTCTCTTTCAGAGCCGCACTTTTTCCGTCTCTTCGTTACAGTGGTTTATCAGCTGGATTGGATGCAGAACAAGGCGCACCATTCTCGACCACTCGAATCGGGCAGGCTGAGGGTCGGACGTTACCGCGTGTTCGCAATTCAGTCCATACTATCTCTTCTCGGATAGAAACCAATGGGCAGTACCATGGTGATGGAGTAACACAACTGGGTTGGACTGCCATGTGACTCGTTCAGTCTGGTTGATTAGCGACATGACATCGATCGGTAGCACCTCTTTCTTTCTTTAGGACCTCGTTTGATGGACAGACAAGACGATTGATCCGCCATGACACGAGTGGATGGAGGAGGCTGTGGTGGAGGACAGGTGAGCATGGCAAGCCCCGTGGATGTTTGTTTGCGTGATTTTTTTGAGAAGTGTGCGCGCGTGTGCGAAGCCTGTCTAGCTCAGTTGGTAGAGCGCAAGACTCTTAATCTTGTGGTCGTGGGTTCGAGCCCCACGGTGGGCGACTACCAATGATGTGATCGAAACGGATGCAGTCCCGTTCTCTTTAGAGCCGCACTTTTTCCGTCTCTTCGTTACAGTGGTTTATCAGCTGGATTGGCTCCAGAACAAGGCGCACCATTCTCGACCACTCGAATCGGGCAGGCTGAGGGTCGGACGTTACCGCGTGTTCGCAACCCAGTCCATACTATCTCTTCTCGGATAGAAACCAATGGGCAGTACCATGGTGATGGAGTAACACAACTGGGTTGGACTGCCATGTGACTCGTTCAGTCTGGTTGATTAGCGACATGACATCGATCGGTAGCACCTCTTTCTTTCTTTAGGACCTCGTTTGATGGACAGACAAGACGATTGATCCGCCATGACACGAGTGGATGGAGGAGGCTGTGGTGGAGGACAGGTGAGCATGGCAAGCCCCGTGGGTGTTTGTTTGCGTGATTTTTCGGAGAAGTGTGCGCGCGTGTGCGAAGCCTGTCTAGCTCAGTTGGTAGAGCGCAAGACTCTAAATCTTGTGGTCGTGGGTTCGAGCCCCACGGTGGGCGACTACCAATGATGTGATCGAAACGGATGCAGATCCGTTGTCTTTTAGAGCCGCACTTTTTCCGTCTCTTCGTTACAGTGGTTTATCAGCTGGATTGGCTCCAGAACAAGGCGCACCATTCTCGACCACTCGAATCGGGCAGGCTGAGAGTCGGACGTTACCGCGTGTTCGCAATTCAGTCCATACTATCTCTTCTCAGATAGAAACCAATGGGCAGTACCATGGTGATGGAGTAACACAACTGGGTTGGACTGCCATGTGACTCGTTCAGTCTGGTTGATTAGCGAAATGACATCGATCGGTAGCACCTCTTTCTTTCTTTAGGACCTCGTTTGATGGACAGACAAGACGATTGATCCGCCATGACACGAGTGGATGGAGGAGGCTGTGGTGGTGGACAGGTGAGCATGGCAAGCCCCGTGGGTGTTTGTTTGCGTGATTTTTTGGAGAAGTGTGCGCGCGTGTGCGAAGCCTGTCTAGCTCAGTTGGTAGAGCGCAAGACTCTAAATCTTGTGGTCGTGGGTTCGAGCCCCACGGTGGGCGACTACCAATGATGTGATCGAAACGGATGCAGATCCGTTGTCTTTTAGAGCCGCACTTTTTCCGTCTCTTCGTTACAGTGGTTTATCAGCTGGATTGGCTCCAGAACAAGGCGCACCATTCTCGACCACTCGAATCGGGCAGGCTGAGAGTCGGGCGTTACCGCGTGTTCGCAACCCAGTCCATACTATCTCTTCTCAGATAGAAACCAATGGGCAGTATTATGGTGATGTAGTAACACAACTGGATTGGACTGCCATGTGACTTGTTCTGACTAGTTGATTAGCGAAATGACATCGATCGGTAGCACCTCTTTCTTTCTTTAGGACCTCGTTTGATGGACAGACTAGACGATTGATCCGCCATGACACGAGTGGATGGAGGAGGCTGTGGTGGTGGACAGGTGAGCATGGCAAGCCCCGTGGATGTTTGTTTGCGTGATTTTTTTGAGAAGTGTGCATGCGTGTGCGAAGCCCGTCTAACTCAGTTGGTAGAGCGCAAGACTCTTAATCTTGTGGTCATGGGTGGGTTCGAGCCCCACGATGGGCGACTACCAATGATGCGATCGAAACGGATGCAGTCCCGTTCTCTTTAGAGCCGCACTTTTTCCGTCTCTTCGTTACAGTGGTTTATCAGCTGGATTGGCTCCAGAACAAGGCGCACCATTCTCGACCACTCGAATCGGGCAGGCTGAGGGTCGGACGTTACCGCGTGTTCGCAATTCAGTCCATACTATCTCTTCTCGGATAGAAACCAATGGGCAGTACCATGGTGATGGAGTAACACAACTGGGTTGGACTGCCATGTGACTCGTTCAGTCTGGTTGATTAGCGACATGACATCGATCGGTAGCACCTCTTTCTTTCTTTAAGACCTCGTTTGATGGACAGACAAGACGATTGATCCGCCATGACACGAGTGGATGGAGGAGGCTGTGGTGGAGGACAGGTGAGCATGGCAAACCCCGTGGGTGTTTGTTTGCGTGATTTTTCGGAGAAGTGTGCGCGCGTGTGCGAAGCCTGTCTACCTCAGTTGGTAGAGCGCAAGACTCTTAATCTTGTGGTCGTGGGTTCGAGCCCCACGGTGGGCGACTACCAATGATATGATCGAAACGGATGCAGTCCCGTTCTCTTTAGAGCCGCACTTTTTCCGTCTCTTCGTTACAGTGGTTTATCAGCTGGATTGGATCCAGAACGAGGCGCACCATTCTCGACCACTCGAATCGGGCAGGCTGAGGGTCGGACGTTACCGCGTGTTCGCAATTCAGTCCATACTATCTCTTCTCGGATAGAAACCAATGGGCAGTACCATGGTGATGGAGTAACACAACTGGGTTGGACTGCCATGTGACTCGTTCAGTCTGGTTGATTAGCGACATGACATCGATCGGTAGCACCTCTTTCTTTCTTTAAGACCTCGTTTGATGGACAGACTAGACGATTGATCCGCCATGACACGAGTGGATGGAGGAGGCTGTGGTGGAGGACAGGTGAGCATGGCAAGCCCCGTGGGTGTTTGTTTGCGTGATTTTTCGGAGAAGTGTGCGCGCGTGTGCGAAGCCTGTCTAGCTCAGTCGGTAGAGCGCAAGACTCTTAATCTTGTGGTCGTGGGTTCGAGCCACACGGTGGGCGACTACCAATGATGTGATCGAAACGGATGCAGTCCCGATCTCTTTAGAGCCGCACTTTTTCCGTCTCTTCGTTACAGTGGTTTATCAGCTGGATTGGCTCCAGAACAAGGCGCACCATTCTCGACCACTCGAATCGGGCAGGCTGCGAGTCGGGCGTTACCGCGTGTTCGCAACCCAGTCCATACTATCTCTTCTCAGATAGAAACCAATGGGCAGTACCATGGTGATGTAGTAACACAACTGGGTTGGACTGCCATGTGACTTGTTCTGACTAGTTGATTCGAGAAATGACAGCGATCAGTAGCACCTCTTTCTTTCTTTAAGACCTCGTTTGATGGACAGACAAGATGATCGATCCGCCATGACACGAGTGGATGAAGGAGGCTGTGGTGGTGGACAGGTGAGCATGGCAAGTCCCGTGGGTGTTTGTTTGCGTGATTTTTCGGAGAAGTGTGCACGCGTGTGCGAAGCCTGTCTAGCTCAGTTGGTAGAGCGCAAGACTCTTAATCTTGTGGTCGTGGGTTCGAGCCCCACGGTGGGCGACTACCAATGATGCGATCGAAACGGATGCAGTCCCGATCTCTTTAGAGCCGCACTTTTTCCGTCTCTTCGTTACAGTGGTTTATCAGCTGGATTGGCTCCAGAACAAGGCGCACCATTCTCGACCACTCGAATCGGGCAGGCTGAGAGTCGGACGTTACCGCGTGTTCGCAATTCAGTCCATACTATCTCTTCTCGGATAGAAACCAATGGGCAGTACCATGGTGATGTAGTAACACAACTGGGTTGGACTGCCATGTGACTCGTTCAGTCTGGTTGATTAGCGAAATGACATCGATCGGTAGCACCTCTTTCTTTCTTTAGGACCTCGTTTGATGGACAGACAAGACGATCGATCCGCCATGACACGAGTGGATGGAGGAGGCTGTGGTGGTGGACAGGTGAGCATGGCAAACCCCGTGGGTGTTTGTTTGCGTGATTTTTCGGAGAAGTGTGCACGCGTGTGCGAAGCCTGTCTAGCTCAGTTGGTAGAGCGCAAGACTCTTAATCTTGTGGTCGTGGGTTCGAGCCCCACGGTGGGCGACTACCAATGATGTGATCGAAACGGATGCAGTCCCGATCTCTTTAGAGCCGCACTTTTTCCGTCTCTTCGTTACAGTGGTTTATCAGCTGGATTGGCTCCAGAACAAGGCGCACCATTCTCGACCACTCGAATCGGGCAGGCTGAGGGTCGGGACGTTACCGCGTGTTCGCAATTCAGTCCATACTATCTCTTCTCGGATAGAAACCAATGGGCAGTACCATGGTGATGGAGTAACACAACTGGGTTGGACTGCCATGTGACTCGTTCAGTCTGGTTGATTAGCGACATGACATCGATCGGTAGCACCTCTTTCTTTCTTTAGGACCTCGTTTGATGGACAGACAAGATGATCGATCCGCCACGACACGAGTGGATGGAGGAGGCTGTGGTGGTGGACAGGTGAGCATGGCAAGCCCCGTGGGTGTTTGTTTGCGTGATTTTTCGGAGAAGTGTGCATGCGTGTGCGAAGCCCGTCTAGCTCAGTCGGTAGAGCGCAAGACTCTTAATCTTGTGGTCGTGGGTTCGAGCCCCACGGTGGGCGACTACCAATGATGTGATCGAAACGGATGCAGTCCCGATCTCTTTTAGAGCCGCACTTTTTCGTCTCTTCGTTACAGTGGTTTATCGGCTGGATTGGCTCCAGAACAAGGCGCCCCACTACGACCACTCGAATCGGGCAGGCTGAGAGTCATTACCCTGTTCCTGGTGGTCTCCACTCACTATCTCTTCTCTCGAGATGAGAACCATAAGGCTTACCATGGTGATGGGTCCCTGGTTGGGCTGCCATGTGCCGTCACGGTTGTTGCGCTCTCCTTTTCTTTCTTTAAACCTCGTTTGATGGACAACCAAGACAATGATCGCCATGACACGGGGGGGGGGGGCGGGTGGGGGAAGGAGGAAACCCTTTTTTGTTTTCGGAGTGTGCGTGTGCGAGCCTGTGTCTAGCTCGTGGTAGAGCGCAGCCTATTTGTGGTCAGGGTTCGAGCCCCACGGTGGGCGACTACCAGTGATAATGATCGAAACGGATGCAGTCCCGTTCTCTTTAGAGCCGCACTTTTCCGTCTCTTCGTTACAGTGGTTTATCAGCTGGATTGGCTCCAGAACAAGGCGCACCATTCTCGACCACTCGAATCGGGCAGGCTGAGAGGGTCGGACGTTACCGCGTGTTCGCAATTCAGTCCATACTATCTCTTCTCAGATAGAAACCAATGGCAGTACCATGGTGATGGAGTAACACAACTGGGTTGGACTGCCATGTGACTCGTTCAGTCTGGTTGATTAGCGAAATGACATCGATCGGTAGCACCTCTCTGTCTTTCTTTAGGACCTCGTTTGGATGGACAGACAAGATGATCGATCCGCCATGACACGAGTGGATGGAGGAGGCTGTGGTGGTGGACAGGTGAGCATGGCAAGTCCCGTGGGTGTTTGTTTGCGTTATTTTCGGAGAAGTGTACGCGTGTACAAAGCCTGTCCTAAGCCCAGTTGGTAGGCCTAGGACTCTTAATCTTGTGGTCAGGTGGGTTCGAGCCCCACGATGGGCGACTACCAATGATGTGATCGAAAACGGATACAGTCTCGATCTCCTTCTAGAGCCGCACTTTTTCCGTCTCTTCTGTTACAGTGGTTTATCCCGCTGGATTGGTTCCAGAGCAAGGGCGCACCATTCACGACCACTCGAATCCGGGCAGGCTGGCGGGTCGGAGGTTACCGCGTGTTCACAACTCAGTCCATACTATCTCTTCTCCGGATAGAAACCAATGGGCAGTACCATGGTGATGGAGTAACACGCTGAGGTTGGACTGCCATGTGACTCGTTCCGTCTGGTTGATTAGAGAAATGACATCCGATCAGTAGCACCTCTTTTTTCTTTCTTTAGGAACCTCGTTTGATGGACAGACAAGATGATCGATCCCTACATTTGACACAGTGGATGGAGGAGGCTGTGGTGGTGGACAGGTGAGCATGGCAAGCCCCGTGGGTGTTTGTTTGCGTGATTTTTCGGAGAAGTGTGCATGCGTGTGCGAAGGCCTGTCTAGCTCAGTTGGTAGAGCGCAAGACTCTTAATCTTGTGGTCATGGGTGGGTTCGAGCCCCCTACGGTGGGCGACTACCAATGATGTGATCGAAACGGATGCAGTCCCGTTCTCTTTCAGAGCTCGCACTTTTTCCGTCTCTTCGTTACAGTGGTTTATCAGCTGGATTGGCTCCAGAACAAGGCGCACCATTCTCGACCACTCGAATCGGGCAGGCTGAGGGTCGGACGTTACCGCGTGTTCGCAATTCAGTCCATACTATCTTTTCTCAGATAGAAACCAATGGGCAGTACCATGGTGATGGAGTAACACAACTGGGTTGGACTGCCATGTGACTCGTTCAGTCTGGTTGATTAGCGAATATGACATCGATCGGTAGCACCTCTTTCTTTTCTTTAGGACCTCGTTTGATGGACAGACAAGATGATCGATCCGCCATGACACGAGTGGATGGAGGAGGCTGTGGTGGTGGACAGGTGAGCATGGCAACCCCGTGGGTGTTTGTTTGCGTGATTTTCGGAGAAGTGTGCACGCGTGTGCGAAGCCTGTCTAGCTCAGTTGGTAGAGCGCAAGACTCTTAATCTTGTGGTCGGTGGGTTCGAGCCCCACGGTGGGCGACTACCAATGATGTGATCGAAACGGGTGCAGTCCCGTTCTCTTTTAGAGCCGCACTTTTTCCGTCTCTTCGTTACAGTGGTTTATCAGCTGGATTGGCTCCAGAACAAGGGCGCACCATTCTCTGACCACTCGAATCCGGGCAGGCTGCGAGTCGGATGTTACCGCTGTGTTCGCAACTCAGTCCATACTATCTCTTCTCAGATAGAAACCAATGGGCAGTACCATGGTGATGGAGTAACATAACTGGGTTCGACTGCCATGTGACTCGTTCAGTCTGGTTGATTAGCGAAATGACATCGATCGGTAGCACCTCTTTCTTTCTTTCTTAGGACCTCGTTTGATGGACAGACAAGAAGATTGATCCGCCATGACACGAAGATGGATGGAGGGAGGCTGTGGGGTGGAGGACAGGTGAGCATGGCAAGCCCCATGGTGTTTGTTTGCGTGAATTTTGAGGAAGTGTGCATGCGTGTGCGAAGCCTGTCTAGCTCAGTTGGTAGAGCGCAAGACTCTTGATCTTGTGGTCGTGGGTTCGAGCCCCACGGTGGGGCGACTACCCCAATGATACGATCGAAACGGATGCAGTCCCGATCTCTTTAGAGCCGCACTTTTTCCGTCTCTTCGTTACAGTGGTTTATCAGCTGGATTGGCTCCAGAACAAGGCGCACCATTCTCGACCACTCCGAATCGGGCAGGCTGCGAGTCGGACGTTACCGCGTGTTCGCAATTCAGTCCATACTATCTCCTTTCTCAGATAGAAACCAATGGGCAGTACCATGGTGATGGGAGTAACATCAACTGGGTTGGACTGCCATGTGACTCGTTCAGTCTGGTTGATTCGCGAAATGACATCGATCGGTAGCACCCTCTTTCTTTTCTTTAGGACCTCGTTTGATGGACAGACAAGATGATCGATCCGCCATGACACGAGTGGATGGAGGAGGCTGTGGTGGTGGACAGGTGAGCATGGCAAACCCCGTGGGTGTTTGTTTGCGTGATTTTTCGGAGAAGTGTGCACGCGTGTGCGAAGCCCGTCTAGCTCAGTCGGTAGAGCGCAAGACTCTTAATCTTGTGGTCGTGGGTTCGAGCCCCACGGTGGGCGACTACCAATGATGTGATCGAAACGGATGCAGTCCCGATCTCTTTTAGAGCCGCACTTTTTCCGTCTCTTCGTTACAGTGGTTTATCAGCTGGATTGGCTCCAGAACAAGGCGCACCATTCTCGACCACTCGAATCGGGCAGGCTGAGAGTCGGACGTTACCGCGTGTTCGCAACCCAGTCCATACTATCTCTTCTCGGATAGAAACCAATGGGCAGTACCATGGTGATGGAGTAACACAACTGGGTTGGACTGCCATGTGACTCGTTCAGTCTGGTTGATTAGCGAAATGACATCGATCGGTAGCACCTCTTTTTCTTTCTTTAGGACCTCGTTCGATGGACAGACAAGATGATCGATCCGCCATGACACGAGTGGATGGAGGAGGCTGTGGTGGTGGACAGGTGAGCATGGCAAGCCCCGTGGGTGTTTGTTTGCGTGATTTTTTGGAGAAGTGTGCACGCGTGTGCGAAGCCTGTCTAGCCTCAGTTGGTAGAGCGCAAGACTCTTAATCTTGTGGTCGTGGGGTTCGAGCCCCACGATGGGCGACTACCAATGATGCGATCGAAACGGATGCAGTCCTGATCTCCTTTTAGAGCCGCACTTTTCCGTCTCTTCGTTACAGTGGTTTATCAGCTGGATTGGCTCCAGAACAAGGCGCACCATTCTCGACCACTCGAATCGGGCAGGCCGAGAGGTCGGACGTTACCGCGTGTTCGCAATTCAGTCCATACTATCTCTTCTCGGATAGAAACCAATGGGCAGTACCATGGTGATGGAGTAACACAACTGGGTTGGACTGCCATGTGACCTCGTTCAGTCTGGTTGATTAGCGACATGACATCGATCGGTAGCACCTCTTTCTTTCTTTCTTTAGGACCTCGTATTGATGGACAGACAAGACGATCGATCCGCCATGACACGAGTGGATGGAGGAGGCTGTGGTGGAGGACAGGTGAGCATGGCAAACCCCGTGGGTGTTTGTTTGCGTGATTTTTCGGAGAAGTGTGCGCGTGTGCGAAGCCCGTCTAGCTCAGTCGGTAGAGCGCAAGACTCTTAATCTCAAGAGACTCTTGATCTTGTGGTCGTGGGTTCGAGCCCCACGGTGGGCGACTACAATGATGTGATCGAAACGGATGCAGTCCTGATCTCTTTAGAGCCGCACTTTTCCGTCTCTTCGTTACAGTGGTTTATCAGCTGGATTGGCTCCAGAACAAGGCGCACCATTCTCGACCACTCCGAATCGGGCAGGCTGCGAGTCGGACGTTACCGCGTGTTCGCAACCCAGTCCATACTATCTCTTCTCAGATAGAAACCAATGGGCAGTACCATGGTGATGGAGTAACACAACTGGGTTGGACTGCCATGTGACTCGTTCAGTCTGGTTGATTAGCGACATGACATCGATCGGTAGCACCTTTTTCTTTCTTTAGAACCTCGTTTGATGGACAGACAAGACGATCGATCCGCCATGACACGAGTGGATGGAGGAGGCTGTGGTAGTGGACAGGTGAGCATGGCAAACCCCGTGGGTGTTTGTTTGCGTGACTTTTCGGAGAAGTGTGCACGCGTGTGCGAAGCCTGTCTAGCTCAGTTGGTAGAGCGCAAGACTCTAAATCGTGTGGTCGTGGGTTCGAGCCCCACGGTGGGCGACTACCAATGATGTGATCGAAACGGGTGCAGTCCCGTTCTCTTTCAGAGCCGCACTGTCTCTTCGTTACGGTGGTTTATCAGCTGGATTGGCTCTAGAACAAGGCGCACCATTCTCGACCACTCGAATCGGGCAGGCTGCGAGTCGGACGTTACCGCGTGTTCGCAACCCAGTCCATACTATCTCTTCTCGGATAGAAACCAATGGGCAGTACCATGGTGATGGAGTAACACAACTCGGTTCGACTGCCATGTGACTCGTTCAGTCTGGTTGATTAGCGAAATGACATCGATCGGTAGCACCTCTTTCTTTCTTTAGGACCTCGTTTGATGGACAGACTAGACGATTGATCCGCCATGACACGAGTGGATGGAGGAGGCTGTGGTGGAGGACAGGTGAGCATGGCAAACCCCGTGGGTGTTTGTTTGCGTGAATTTTTGGAGAAGTGTGCACGCGTGTGCGAAGCCTGTCTAGCTCAGTTGGTAGAGCGCAAGACTCTAAATCGTGTGGTCGTGGGTTCGAGCCCCACGGTGGGCGACTACCAATGATGCGATCGAAACGGATGCAGTCCCGATCTCTTTAGAGCCGCACTTTTTCCGTCTCTTCGTTACAGTGGTTTATCAGCTGGATTGGCTCCAGAACATGGCGCACCATTCTCGACCACTCGAATCGGGCAGGCTGCGAGTCGGATGTTACCGCGTGTTCGCAATTCAGTCCATACTATCTCTTCTCAGATAGAAACCAATGGGCAGTACCATGGTGATGGAGTAACACAACTCGGTTCGACTGCCATGTGACTCGTTCAGTCTGGTTGATTAGCGAAATGACATCGATCGGTAGCACCTCTTTCTTTCTTTCTTTAGGACCTCGTTTGATGGACAGACTAGACGATTGATCCGCCATGACACGAGTGGATGGAGGAGGCTGTGGTGGAGGACAGGTGAGCATGGCAAACCCCGTGGGTGTTTGTTTGCGTGAATTTTTGGAGAAGTGTGCACGCGTGTGCGAAGCCTGTCTAGCTCAGTTGGTAGAGCGCAAGACTCTAAATCGTGTGGTCGTGGGTTCGAGCCCCACGGTGGGCGACTACCAATGATGTGATCGAAACGGGTGCAGTCCCGTTCTCTTTCAGAGCCGCATTTTTTCCGTCTCTTCGTTACGGTGGTTTATCAGCTGGATTGGCTCCAGAACAAGGCGCACCATTCTCGACCACTCGAATCGGGCAGGCTGCGAGTCGGACGTTACCGCGTGTTCGCAACCCAGTCCATACTATCTCTTCTCAGATAGAAACCAATGGGCAGTACCATGGTGATGGAGTAACACAACTCGGTTCGACTGCCATGTGACTCGTTCAGTCTGGTTGATTAGCGAAATGACATCGATCGGTAGCACCTCTTTCTTTCTTTCTTTAGGACCTCGTTTGATGGACAGACTAGACGATTGATCCGCCATGACACGAGTGGATGGAGGAGGCTGTGGTGGAGGACAGGTGAGCATGGCAAACCCCGTGGGTGTTTGTTTGCGTGAATTTTTTTGAGAAGTGTGCACGCGTGTGCGAAGCCCGTCTAGCTCAGTTGGTAGAGCGCAAGACTCTAAATCGTGTGGTCGTGGGTTCGAGCCCCACGGTGGGCGACTACCAATGATGTGATCGAAACGGATGCAGTCCCGTTCTCTTTCAGAGCCGCATTTTTTCCGTCTCTTCGTTACGGTGGTTTATCAGCTGGATTGGCTCTAGAACAAGGCGCACCATTCTCGACCACTCGAATCGGGCAGGCTGCGAGTCGGACGTTACCGCGTGTTCGCAACCCAGTCCATACTATCTCTTCTCGGATAGAAACCAATGGGCAGTACCATGGTGATGGAGTAACACAACTGGGTTGGACTGCCATGTGACTCGTTCTGACTAGTTGATTAGCGAAATGACATCGATCGGTGGCACCTCTTTCTTTCTTTAGGACCTCGTTCCGATGGTTAGATTGAGACGATTGATCCGCCATGACACGAGAGTGGATGGAGGAGGCTGTGGTGGTGGACAGGTGAGCATGAGCAAGCCCCGTGAGTGTTTGTTTGGTGGAGAATTTTTTGAGAGAAGTGTGCACGCGTGTGCGGAAGGCCTGTCTAACTCAGTTGGTAGAGCGCAACACTCTAAATCGTGTGGTCGTGGGTTCGAGCCCACGGTGGGCGACTACCAATGATGCGATCAACTGAAACGGATGCAGTCCCGATCTCTTTGATCCGCACTTTTCCGTCTCTTCGTTACAGTGGTTTATCAGCTGGATTGGCTCCAGAACATGGCGCACCATTCTCGACCACTCGAATCGGGCAGGCTGCGAGTCGGACGTTACCGCGTGTTCGCAACCCAGTCCATACTATCTCTTCTCAGATAGA